GTTTGGTAGTGAATTTGATAGTAAACTTTTTAATGGGAGATAGCTGTGGGGTTTTACAAAATGTAGCACCATTTGAAGCTTATGGCTCCACTTGGATTTCAGCTGAACAATACTTGTGAAATGGGACAAATGAATCCACGACGGGAAAGATGCTGAAACGTGTTGAAGAAGAGTTACAAACCACACTTGTTTTGCTATGGTGTCTCCTTACACGTTTCCTTGACTACACATGTGGTAGTCTTGTGGAGTCTATGTGATGTCTATGTTTCCATTTTGATTCAATTGTAGCTTGTAATGCAAAGAATGGCTTGAGTATACTTATCTTGGATTCTTTGTGATTTAGTTCAAAATAGGTATTGAAATGGGAAAAATGGGAAATTGATCATGGTCAATAAGATGCCCAATTATACATTAGATCCTTCAAAAAAATTATTACAGCCCTCATTATTCAACAACTTCAACCACTTTATTCTTTTTTGTCCTGGTTACTTAAAAAAAATTCTTCAGTGGGAGGATTTCAAGTATGATAAGTCAAATATCTTGGATAGATCCCAGGTGTGCTATTCTTTGTATTTACAGGTGATAGTTATATGAGTATGTGTGAATTCATAGCACATCTTTAAAGGTAGAGTTAAAGATCTCAGGCTCAGTAACTAAGATTCCTACAACTAAAACCACTGAATAATATTAGAAAGGGTTCATCTACCCTTGGAATGTTTGTTAAACTCTATTAAAGGATTTTTTAAAGAATCCAAATAGTTGACCATCAAACATCAATAAATATGACCTAAATATTTGAATTTTTTTTCAGCTTTTAGTGATTTTATTCAAGTAGTATGCTTGTTAATGTTTATATCTTTAGCATTGTTATTTGTACAATTCCATTTAACTTCAAATTATTGTGCTTTACAAAAGGCACCCAACAATTTGTTCATTTTGCCTTAATACCGCTCCCATGGATGTATCTTGAAAACATTATTGTTCATGACGGAGTTAACGTAATGAACCTATCATCTTGTAGTCATTTGACCTTAAGTTTCTCAATGTTTGAATTATTTTAGAGGGTAAAAGATGGGTTTAATAGAAATGTCTAGATAACCTTCAAGTTCTTTTAATTAAAACATTCGAATCAGCTCACTATTCAACTAGCTCTACACTCTATCACAAGATGACAGAACAATGAAGGCAAGAACAGATGTCTTGGATACTGAATCTATAAAGTATGTGGGTAAGTAGCACATATGCTGCCCATTTTTAATCAGGTCTAAAATATAGACAAAGGAGCCTTGGTGATGCAGTAGTTAAAAAGCCAGGATTTAAATATCTTCTGGAAAATCTCAGAAAATATTCTTAAATAGCAGTATATTATTCTGTCACACTGAAAATTTTATTTCCAAATTCAATACTGACATTTGGTATTGAAACTTAACTGGAGGTCCCTTACCCCCACCCCAATTTAATCCTAAACGGGCTTGAAATAAATAACTCAATGTTGACTCATAGCATTCCTATAGAACAGGGTAAAATGGTCCCTGCGAGTTTCTGAGAGTGTAATTATTCATCTGTTCTATCTCATCACACAGAGAAATCTGATGCTAACTTTAATGCTGACGTTTGCTAGTGGATTTGGTTGTAAACTTTTTAATGGAACATAGCTGTGGAACTATGATGAGAGTCTCATCTTTCTCCCTAGTGGTTTTGAACTGGGGACCTTCCTGTTAGCAGCCCAATTAGTAACTCTGTAAAATGGAAAGCTATATTTGGAGAAAAATAATTGTTAAGTAATTGTTAAGACTCAGTGTGTTTTACCACCTGATTTGCCCTATTTCCACCCTGATTTTTCTTTCAATGAATGATTCTTCTGTTCAAGAGGTTTCTAATGCAGATTGGAATTGGGTGATTGAGTTGGGCATGATCTGAAGTCTCAGGCTTTAAATTCTGACATTTTTCTCCTTTGACAACAATTTAAAAATTACTTGTATAAAAATAAACAATGTGGATAGAGATTTCCTTCTCTAGAACCAAGCTCCCATGAATTGCAGGGTAAGCTATGGAATAGACTGTCCCCTCAACATCCTGGAGCCAGGAGTTATATGGTGGTTAGAAGGCAGGGGGTTGGCCTCAGGAGGTCATCTTACACTTTTAAAGGTCATCCTACATTTTTAAAAAACAGGTACTAATACTGCCCTTGTTGGGAAAAAAAGAGACGGGTACAACCAGTCTTTGAAGCAACAATCCATTTATTATTCCTCCAATGCACAGAGTTCAAGAAGACAATTTCAAAATTTCAAACAAACTCAGGAAGTTAAAAAACTGAATTGTGTCTTAAACAGAAACAAGGAGAGATTGGCTTTAGGGAAGGGCTCATACACATACATCTTCCTGACTGAGAACAAGCCGAGTGGAGAGGAGGTGGGCAGAGCCTGCCTTAGTCCTACTTTGACTGGACAGCACTGTGCTTACTTAAGTTGATGGTAAACAGCCC